AGTACTTGAAGATGTTGCCCATGCAGACCATCGCCAACACAAGGTAAGTGCCCTCACATCATCGTCATCATCCTTCACCTATTCCCTGACTTTACACCCACGTTTGTCCCCTATTACACCCGAAAACCACCCCGGCGCCTCGCTGTAGTCCAAGCCCACCAACTATGGTGGTCGGGCTATGGCGCTGCCCGTAGCAGCACCCTTCTTCCGTGCACGACCGCACCTGCTGCACCTCAACTCTCAGCGCCAGCAAGCAACCGCGAGCTCTTGCTCTAGTAGCGCTGCCGCTAGCATACGAGTGCCTGAATGAGGCTGCAAGGGGAGAGCTCTTTCCTTTATGGAAAGAGCTGGCCTGCTCGCGCAGCTTGGCTGCACTGACCTGGGCCCAGAAGCTTTCGGAAGGCCCCAGGAGGCTGCCTGTGTACAGCAGCTACTGGGCTGTGGGGCCTCGTTCGGTTGGGCGCCCATTTGTCCCTGTATGAGGCTGCGAATCACGCCCAGGGCCTGCATTCCTGGGAAAAGCCCGCAAGGGCGTGGAAATGTCTTTGTTGCCAGGCCTGAGTTTCTCTCAACCAACTGGCGCGTCGCAACTTCTTGGACCCCAAATATGAAATTGACAGTCGAGGGCCTCTTGCGATATGTCTGGCCCGCCTTCACTTAGGGCGGGCAATGCTGTAACAGGGCCCCATAGGCCTACCGAGGACCTTGATCCTTGCATTCCTTCCTCCTGTACTTCGTGAGTCCTCTGAGAAGTCTCTTATTATGCAGGCATCTTCCCCTTCAGTGCTCTTTCGTAGCCTGCAATCACTTGAGGTGCTGTTCTCACGAGTTCTTCTCGTGTGAACCAGCGATCCTCCTTAGGATCCAGATGACGTCTGAAGCTCACCCGATACTGCATTCTCGCAGCATTGATCTTCTGGAGGGAAACAACTCAGTAGCAGCAAAATGTGCTAACTTGAGGCATGGAACACAGGGTAGGTACGTAAGTGAGGTGGGATGCGGATTACATATGATGGACCATCTGGTTGATCTCCTACAGTGTCCAAGATCTCCCAGTGCCCAAAGTACTGTGGCATTGGCTTGCGGGATATGCCTAACTCCTGACCAAGCTCAGCGGACTTAATCCAGACTCTCTCGCCTACCTGAAAGTTTGAAGGCCGTCTATGCTTATTCTCAGATGCAATCATTGCTTCCTGAAATTTCTTGATATGTTCTACGGCCTGCTGCAGCATCTGTTCATACTTGACAGCAAACTCTATGCTGTCGGGTGCTGCAGTGGGTTCTCTTTCTGGTAGCAGAAAGTCAAGGGCAGTACGCGGCTTCCAACCAAGATGCAGTTGGTTGGGAGTCGTGCCTGTAGTACTACGCACAACGTTATTGTACAGGCTGGCAACGAGAGGTAGTTTCTCGTCCCAGTCGTCTTGACCTGGCTTAATATAGTGCCTAAGCAGGTGTTGTACTACTCGGCTCATCTGTTCCGCCTGACCATTTGACTCAGCAGTAGATTACCACAATTCGCTCGTGAATCTTAGATCCCTATCACTAACAATAGACGTAGGTAGACCAAAATCCCTTACCCAGTTGTCCATGAAGAGTTTGATGACAAAGTCAGTTTTAGCAGTTTCAGGCATAGCGATTAGTCTTGCATACTTAGTAAAGCGAACCACTATAACAAAGATGTGTCTTCTTCCATACCTGCTGGTCACCAGGGAATCCATGAAATCCATGGACACACTTTGGCCTGGTCCTTCAGGAATCGGCAAGGGCTTGATCAGCCCAAGCGGAGCCTGAGTCCTTGGTTTGTCCCTTTGGCAAACCTGGCAGGTTTCAACATAGCGTTTGCATCTTCCATCATAGAGGGCATCTACCATCGTGGATTCGTCCAAAGTCGTTTTGTCCTTTGCTTGGAATCTACGGATGATTTCTAACATAACTGGATCTCCCTGATAGGCTTCCACCAGCGATCGAGTGAGTTCGTCGGATACATGTCTATCACTTGAATCCATCTTTTGAGTGCGTCAGATAGCGCAAAGTTTCATGGTCAGACCTTACATAGAAGAATCTTCCTAGGAGGTAGTGCCTCCAATGAACTAGCGCTCTGTACAGGGCGTAGAGCTCTCTCTCATATGTGGACTTAGCTAAAATCTGAGAAGGCATCTTTTTACTCATGTACTCGACCGGTCTCAACTTTGGCCCATCCTGTTGCGCAAGGACCGCGCCTATGCCATATTGGTTGGCGTCTGTGGTCACAACAAACGGCTTGTCAGGATCTGGAAGCTTGAGAACTTCATAGTGTGTTAGAGCATACTTCAATTTCTTGAAGCTTGCCTCACACTCTTCAGTCCACTCCCAAGGGGTGTCGAGTCGAGTTAGATCTGTTAATGGGGAGGCTACCGTACTATAGTTTTTCACAAAAGGACGATAATAGCCTGTCATCCCCAAGAACGATCTGACCTCAGTAACAGTATGAGATCTGGGCCAGTCACGTATGCTGGCCACCTTTGCATCTTCCAGCCTCAACCCATCTGCTGAAATCTCATGACCCAGGTACAAGATCTTGGTGCGACCAGACTCGCATTTCTCCAAGTTTATCTTGTACTGGTGCTGCCTTAGGAGACGTAGCACTGTATTTAGGTGCTCAGCATGCTCCTCTGCAGTCTTACTGAAGATGAGGATATCATCGAGGTACACGACGATAAACTTATCTAAGTAATCATGAAAAATCATGTTCATTGCGTGCTGGGACGTACCAGGAGCATTGCATAGGCCAAAGGGCATCACAACAAACTCGTACAGACCATACCTGGTCTGAAATGCGGTGTTGTGTTGATCCTCAGGTCTAATAGCAATTTGATGGTATTCGATGCGGGGTAGGGGCTCTGCATTTTTAACAGTGATGGCATTGAGACCCCTATAGTCAATGCACATCCTCAGGGTACCTCCCTTCTTAGGTACGAATAGTACTGGAGCGCCGTAAGGGGAGGTACTAGGCCGAATCCATCCCTTCTCTGTGAGCTCCTTGGGCTGGCGGCGGAGCTCGTCCAACTCTGCAGGAGACATCCTATAGATTCGTCCTCTAGGCACCCTACTACCTGGGACAACCTCTATTGCATGGACAACCTCCCTTTCTACCACGCCTATAGGCTCCTCAAAAAGGTCTGAATATTGTGCGACGACTGAGTCCATCTCTGGGGGTGTTTTAACTGCCTCCCCTTTCTCAGAGACAAATACTAGATACATGCCCTCCTCGCGATTGTGTTTATAGTAGTTATAGAAAGAGGAGGCACACATGCAACCGTAGTTTTCCACTAGACTGTTAGCTTTATACTTTTGCAGCCTAACGGTCCTACTGTTTGGAAGCTTGTGTATCAACACCTTTCTATCCCAATCAAACTGAGGTTGAGAAACCTCGAGGTAGTACATGCCTAAAAGCATATCAAAGGGCAGTTTGTCGCTAACCAGGAAGGAGATCTTATGGCTGACTTCCCCTCCTCCATAGGAGAATGTGCAGACTATGTCCTTGACATAATCCTTTACTACCATTTGTTGCTTGTTGGCTAACGTAGAAGCTACAGTTCTCCTAAGCCGCTGCACTTGGTCCCCTAAGCGCAATCTATCCACATAAGCACGACTGATGAAGTTCCATGTAGAGCCTATGTATTTGCGGCCACCTACATCATCCTCTACCACGAAATGTTCACCCTTTGGACCTCTACTGATCATCGCCCAAGAGTCCCTGGGGTCCTTCCTTGACCACTTAGTATCTAACTCTTCTAGGGCCTCAAACACATCTCTCGAACAGAGCGTCGGTGGGTCTGAATGTGTCTGCGGGGCGATGTATGGGTCTCTAGCCTTGGCCAATGCCTGAAATCGGGAAGGCAACGTAACCACTTCAGTGCAAGTAAGAGCGGCTAACACTCCTACTGGCCCGAGGAGTTTCCCTGCGAAGTGCTCGCAGAAGCACTGCCAGAGTTCGAAGATAAGCCCACCACTGTTGGTGAGGCTACCTTCGTTGTGACCTTTTTGCCTTAGCATGTCCGTGACGTGTGGCCATAGTTGCCACAATTCATGCATGTGCCCCTGGCAACTCGGTCCCTCCACACCACGTAATCTAAACCAATCTTCACCCATGCGGGTGTCCCTTGGTCGCCCTGACCCGTGGACCGTACTACCTTCTTCTTCCCAGTCCACCTAGCCTTTTCCTTGATGGGTGCCACGACTCCCCCATCCGAAGTCTCGCTGGCCCCATCCTGCTTTGTCAACTCCCCGAGGTCTGGGAAATCGTCAATCTCCGTCTTTTGACCATCGTGGTCAACGAACATCAACTGACCCTTCTTCTTGCAGTCCTGGGGGAGTCTCTTCCTACCATCATGAGATACCTGATGCGCGGATCCCAGCTTCGCCTCTATGTCCAGAGCTTTCTTACTAAAAGTAGCGAAGGTGTGCTGTTCGACATAGGCCTCATCAACCAGCTTGGTCCTTACCTTTGCAGGAAGGCACCTTAGGTAATCCGTCAGGAGAACCTGCTGGTCAAAACGCACACCAGGTACCACGAGTAGACGTTCTACGGTGTCCGTTTGCTCTCTAGCATTCTTGAACCTGCGGGAACAAAGACTGTTGATAGCATCGGAGGCCTTCTGAGCCCCTTGAGGGTCATGCCACCTGTTATACACGGACCGTACGAACTCTTCCAATGTCTGGGCCTGTGCCCAGGCATCGAAGTTTTGACCGTAGGCCTGCTGCTGCACTAAGCCATTCAACCAGCGGGCTGCTGACCCCTCTAAAAAGGAGGCAGCCACTACTTCCTGCTCTGGCCTGGTGAGCTTGTGCCTCACATAAGTAGGCACAGTCCTCGCCCAGGTGTCTAAGTCCCCATCCTTCTTCCTATCACCAGAGAAGGGTTTGGGACTCATCAAAGGTATCTTAGGCATCCACTGCATAGGCTGCATGGGCCCAAAGGCTTGCTGCAGCGGCTGCATAGCCACTGAAACAGGCTGTTGCACACTAACCTGGGCCTGCCTTGATAGTGGGACTGTAGTGACCACTGTCGTAGATGGTACGGCTGAGACACTATGAACCGGACCACTAGTTGCTACTAAACCACCTGGAGGGGGCATGCCAAACATAGGAGAGAAAGTTGGCCTTGTGGGTTGTGGCATCGATGAAGGACCCGCACCCGCAGGGGGAACTACAGCAAATTGTGGCTGCCTCATCATCGTACGAGGAGCCCGAAGTTCAGCCAGGATTTGTTTCTGGCCTGCTACCAATTCGGTCAGCAATTCCTGCTGGACATTCTGCGCTTCTGCCACTGATAGCAAGGCACTACGCAGCACACGGACAGCAGGATCTAACGCCGCCTCGTCTAGTCCTTCCAGCCTGCCTAGCTCCTGCACTCTACTCCCTTGTCTAGCTTTTCTGAGTATTGCTTTTCTTCTTCTCTCTGCTGCTTCGTCCATATGCCGCTGAAGCTCATCCTGAAGTTCTTCTGCCTGTTGGATTTCTAAATCCTCCGGTGTGAGTGGACTCTGGTGCGTGACTTGCAAATCAGCAGACTGACTAACTGCACCCGATCCACCCTGCCCTGCTCCCGACGAAGAAGATTGGGAAGAGGTTTGTGACGTAGAGGCGGCGGTAGCCATCGCAGCCGCTAAGCTGGCTGTTGCGTCCCTAATCCTCCTCGCTGCTACCCTCTCCCTTGCTTCTCTTCGTAGTCTCCTTTCCTCCCCAGGAGCTAACTCCTGGAAAGTGATTGGTTGACTAAGAGCGGTTCTCCGTGTGATCCTAAGGGGTTGCACTAGCCTTCCCTCCTCCTCACTGCTGTCTCCACTCATGAGCTACAGTGTGTGTGATCTAAACTAGAATCCCCACTGAATCCTACCTTAGCATGACACACAACCGCATATGATACCCAACTACTTACGGATCGGCCTGAACAGAAACAGGTAGGTGATGTAGTTACAACTAATGTGAGGTCCTACAGGATATATTAAATCTATTTTTAGATTACTCTGATACACATAGCATTGCAACAAAGACCCAGTCTGTCTGTAGCTGTTTGTCAGTTGTTAGACAAGTCCGTAACAACTAAATAATCAAAACAGAAATAACATCTCCTGTTGGAGACATACACTAGATGGCAGATTGTCTATTTATAGCCACTGTGAACTGTTACCGGAAATCCCCTCCCCCTGTATCCTTCTTGATTGGTGTCTTTGTGTCGACGTCCTGAGCATCTGGTTGAGCAGCGTGTTTGAAGGTGTGCAATCCAGTGATTCCCCCCCGGCGACGGACAGGCGCGGCCAGGCCGCGAAGCCCGCGGACGCGCGCATTCGCGGACACGTGGCGGCCGCAGGGGAGGGGGTTTGAAGATTCTGACGGCGCCACGTGGCGGCGCATCCCCTGCCCCACCCCCCCACACAAAAAAAAAACGAAAAAGATCAACTTTTGGTGGGGGGGGTATGGGCGAAATCCAACGAAAATGGGAAAAAAAAAACGCGTTTTTTTTT